TAATGTCGAGAGACGAATTTCGTGGTTTGGAAGTTTTAGGAGGAGGTGCGATTACCAAAACTGTTGTCCAGAGGACTGAGGAAGGGTTGTTGAGGTGGTTCGGACATGTAGAGTGAATGGAGCGAAACAGAATAACTTCAGAGTGTATCAGTCTGTAGTAGAAGGAAGGGGGTAGGGGTCGGCCTAGGAAAGGTTGGAGGGAGGGGGTAAAGGAGTTTTGTGTGCAAGGGGCTTGGACTTCCAGCAGCATGCGTGAGCGTGTTTGATAGGAGTGAATGGAGACAAATGGTTTTTAATACTTGACGTGCTGTTGGAGTGTGAGCAAAAGTAACATTTATGAAGGGGTTCAGGGAAACCGGCAGGCCGGACTTGAGTCCTGGAGATGGAAGTACAGTGCCTGCACTCTGAAGGAGGGGTGTTAATGTTGCAGTTTAAAAACTGTAGTGTAAAGCACCCTTCTGGCAAGACAGTGATGGAGTTAATGATGGTGAAAGTTTTTCTTTTTCGGGCCACCCTGCCTTGGTGGGAATCGGCCCGTGTGATAATAAAATAAAAAAATATATTACATATATATATACATATATAATATATACCACATTATATATATATATATATAATATATATATATATATATATATATATATATATAATTATATAATTATATATTATATATTTTATTTATTTTTTTTATATCACACTGGCCGATTCCCACCAAGGCAGGGTGGCCCGAAAAAGAAAAACTTTCACCATCATTCACTCATCACTGTCTTGCCAGAAGGGTGCTTTAACACTACAGTTTTTAAACTGCAACATAACACCCCTCCTTCAGAGTGCAGGCACTGTACTTCCCATCCCAGGACTCAAGTCCGGCCTGCCGGTTTCCCTGAATCCCTTCATAAATGTTACTTTGCTCACACTCCAACAGCACGTCAAGTATTAAAAACCATTTGTCTCCATTCACTCCTATCAAACACGCTCACGCATGCCTGCTGGAAGTCCAAGCCCCTCGCACACAAAACCTCCTTACCCCCTCCCTCCAACCCTTCCTAGGCCGACCCCTACCCCGCCTTCCTTCCACTACAGACTGATACACTCTTGAAGCATTCTGTTTCGCTCCATTCTCTCTACATGTCCGAACCACCTCAACAACCTTTCTCAGCCTCTGGACAACATTTTTTGGTAATCCCGCACCTCCTCCTAACTTCCAAACTACGAATTCTCTGCATTATATTCACACCACACATTGCCCTCAGACATGACATCCCCACTGCCCAGCCTTCCCTCGCTGCAACAGTCATCACCCACGTTTCCCACACCCATATAAGAGCGTTGGTAAAACTATACTCTCATAAAATTCCCCTCTTTGCCTCCAAGGACAAAGTTTCTTTGTCTCCACAGACTCCTAAGTGCACCACTCACTTTTTTTTCCCTCATCAATTCTATGATTCCCCTCATCTTTCATAGACCCTTTCCGCTGACACGTCCACCCCCAAATATCTGAATACGTTCACCTCCTCCATACTCTCTCCCTCCAATCTGATATTCAATCTTTCATCACCTAATCTTTTTGTTATCCTCAAAACCCTTTAAACTCTTTCCTGTATTCACCTTTAATTTCTTCTTTTGCACACCCTACCAAATTCATCCACCAATCTCTCCCAACTTCCCCTTCAGAATCTCCAAGAGCACAGTGTCATCAGAAAAGAGCAGCTGTGACAACTCCCCCCTTTTGTGTGTGATTCTTTTTTCTTTTAACTCCACCCTCTTGCCAAGACCCTCGCATTTACTTCTCTTACACCCCATCTAAAAATATATTAAACAACCACGGTGACACCCACACATCCTTGTCTAAGGCCTACTTTTACTGGGAAAAAATTTCCTCTTTCCTACAAAACTCTAACTTGAGCCTCACTATCCTCGTAAAAACTCTTCACTGCTTTCAGTAACCTACCTCCTACACCATACACTTGCAACATTCTGCCACATTGCCCCCCTATCCCCCCTGTCATACCCCTTTTTTCCAAATCATAAATGCCAAAAAGGGACCTCTTTAGCCTTATCTAATACTGTTCACTTATATGTTTCACTGTAAACAACCTGGGCCACACACCCCCTACTTTCCTAAAGCCTCCTTGTTCATCTGCTATCCTATTTCTCCGTCTTTCTCTTAAATTTTTTCAATTATAACTCTACCATACACTTACCAGGGACACTCAACAGACTTATCCCCCTTTTAATTTTTGCACTCTCTTTTATCCCCTTTGCCTTTATACAAAGGAACTATGCATGCTCTCTGCCAATCCCTAGGTACCTTACCCTCTTCCATACATTTATTAAATAATTGCACCCAAAACCACTCCAAAACTATATCCCCACCCGCTTTTAACATTTTATCTTTATCCCATCAATCCCGCTGCCTTACCCCCTTTTTATTTTACTACTTGCTCACGAACTTCCCCCACACTCAAACTGGCTCTTCCTCACTCCTACAAGATGTTATTCCTCCTTGCCCTATACACGAAATCACAGCTTCCCTATCTTCATCAACATTTAACAATTCCTCAAAATATTCCCTCCATCTTCCCAATACCTCTAACTCTCCATTTTAAACTCTCCTCTCCTATTTTTACTGACAAATCCATTTGTTCTCTAGGCTTTCTTAACTTGTTAATCTCACTCCAAAACTTTTCTTATTTTCAACAAAATTTGTTGATAACATCTCACCCATCTCTCATTTGCTCCTTTTTTACAAATTGCTTCACCACTCTCTTAACCTCTCTCTTTTTTCTTCCATATACTCTTCCCTCCTTGCATCACTTCTACTTTTGTAAAAACTTCTCATATGCTAACTTTTTTTCCCTTACTACTCTCTTTACATCATCATTCCACCAATTCGCTCCTCTTCCCCCCTGCACCACTTTCCTGTAACCCCACAAACTTCTGCTGAACACTCTAACACTACATTTTTAAACCTACCCCATACCTCTTCGACCCCATTGCCTATGCTCTCATTAGCCCATCTATCCTCCAATGCTGTTTATATCTTACCCTAACTGCCTCCTCTTTTAGTTTTTTAAACCTTCACCTCTCTCTTCCCTGATGCTTCTATTCTCCTTGTTTTTCCCATCTACCTTTTACTCTCAGTGTAGCTACAACTAGAAAGTGATCTGATATATCTTTTGGCCCCTCTATAAACATGTACATCCTGAAGTCTACTCAACAGTCTTTTATCTACCAATACATAATCCAACAAATACTGTCATTTCGCCCTACATCATATCGTGTATACTTATTTATCCTCTTTTTCTTAAAATATGTATTACCTATATATAAACCCTTTCTAAAACAAAGTTCAATCAAAGGCTCCCATTATCATTTACCCCTGGCACCCCAAACTTACCTACCACCCCTCTCTAAAAGTTTCTCCTACTTAGCATTTAGGTCTCCTACCCAATTACTCTCTCACTTTGTTCAAAGGCTCCTATACATTCACCCTTAACATCTCCCAAAATTCTCTCTCTCCTCTGCATCCTCTCTTCTCCAGGTGCATACACGCTTATTATGACCCACTTTTTCGCATCCCAACCTTTACTTTAATCCACATAATTCTTGAAATTACACATTCATATTCTTTTTTTCTCCTTCCATAACTGATCATTTAACATTACGCTACCCCTTCCTTTGCTCTAACTCTCTCAGATACTCAGATTTAATCCCCTTTATTTCCCCCCACTGAAACTCTCCTACCCCCTTCAGCTTTTTTTTTGCTTAGGGCCAGGACATCCAACTTCTTTTCATTCATAACATCAGCAATCATCTGTTTCTTGTCATCCGCACTACAGCCACGCACATTTAAGCAACCCAGTTTTATAAAGTTTTTCTTCTTCTCTTTTTTAGTAAATGTATACAGGAGAAGGGTTACTAGCCATTGCTCCCGCATTTTAGTCGCCTCATACGACACGCATGGCTTACGGAGGAAAGATTCTTTTTCCACTTCCCCATGGACAATAGAAGAAATAAAAAAGAACAAGAGCTATTTAGAAAAAAGGAGAAAAAACCTAGATGTATGTATATATATATATGCATGTGCGTGTCTGTGAAGTGTGACCAAAGTGTAAGTAGGAGTAGCAAGATATCCCTGTTATCTTAGCGTGTTTATGAGACAGAAAAAGAAACCAGCAATCCTACCATCATGCAAAACAGTTACAGGTTTTTTGTTTTCACAGTCATCTGGCAGGACGGTAGTACTTCCCTGGGTGGTTGCTGTCTACCAACCTACTACCTACCTATATATATATATATACATGTGTGTATATATATATATTTATATATATTATAATATATATATAATATATATATATATATATATATATACAATGTGTGTATATATATATTATATATATATATATATATATTATATATATGCTGGACAAGCCACAGGAAGGGGGGTGGAAATCTTTAGCTCAAGTACTTTCACACTTCTCAGTGCATCATCAGGAGCTGTGCAATGTTGCAAAGGAGCAACAAAAGCAGGGAGAGAGGTCTCAGAGTAGCGTAGGTGTCACAGGCCACGGTTACCCTTAGATTGGGTTAGTGGTCAGTGCCAACCCCACCCTACCATCATCCCCAAGCATATATATACACACACCCCTCTGGGTTTTCTTCTATTTTCTTACTAGTTCTTGTTATTGTTTATTTCGTCTTACCTCCATGGGGAAGAGGAACAGAATTCTTCCTCCGTAAGCCATGTGTGCTGTAAGAGGGGACTAAAATGCCGAGAGCCAGTGGCTAGTAACCCCTTCTCTTGTACATGTTACTAAATGTAAAAGGAGAAACACCAAAAGGAGAAACACACCAAAAAGGAGAAACTTTCGTTTTTCCTTTTGGTGTGTTGAAAGAAAGATAATTTATTTTACTCAGCTTAAGACAAACAAAAAGGCTGTTACATTGGTGTCTTGGCTATTAGTAGCAATTCTGGAGTAGACAGTCGACATGCTTACCTGCTGGTCCAGCTTGTCTCCATGTGGCTCTGATCTGTCAAAGTAGTATATCAAAACAAGACAAATTACCATCTTCAAAAGGGAACTAATATATCATGTACGTATGATGAAATTATTTATTTATTGTGCATACAGAGTCTATACGTATTTTGGATGCGATCAGTTATAAAAGAAACAGTCGTGCATTTATTAATCACTTAGTTCTCTCAGTTTCACCGACTCTCCTCTTAAGTATTTGCTCAGTATTTTCTTTATCATTATCCCTATTCCCTTGCTTACCATTATTTTCAACAGTAATTTTTAGAACACACTGGTCATCTCTCACCAACATAGGGCGACAAAAAAATTCAACATCACTAATTAAATACGTAGTTGTCTTGTCAGAAGTGCACAAACATCACAGTTCAGATGGCCCTCTAAAATGCAACATCCTCACCCAGTCTTCTGAGTGCAGGAACTACTTCCCACCTACAGGATTGAAGTCCAGTTAACCAATTTACCTGAATCCCTTCATAAATATTACCTTGTTCACGCTCCAACAGTACATCAAGCCATAAGAGCCACTTGTCTCCATTTACTTCAATCTAACAGGCTCACACAAACCTGCTGGATGCTCAAACCCTTAACACTCAAAACCTTGACTCCTCCTTCCTTCAAACCCTTTCTGGGATGACCCCTAGCCCTTCTATATTCCACCCCAGATTTATATACCCTCTTGGTCATCTTAATCAGCTCTTATCTTCTTTAAATGTCCAAACTACAAGAACCCCATCTCAGAACTTTGAATTATACCTTTGGTATCCTGCATCATCTAAGCTCCAACTTCTCTGCATAATATTCACCACACACGATCTCAAATTGACATCCCTAAAACCCACCAGCTTCCTCCAACATTTAAACCCTGTACCTCACTCGTATAAGTGTTGGTACCACTGAATTCCATTTTATGCTTCATACAATATACATGGAGTACCTAGAGTATACCTGGACAGAGTTTCGGGGGCCAAAACCACCACAGCCCAGTCCATTACTAGATCTTGTGGATCAGGGCCTGATCAACCAGGCTATTACTGCTGGCTGCACATAACCCAACATATGAACCACAGCCCAGCTAGTCAGGTACTGACTTTAGGTGCTTGTCTGGCTCTTTGAAGACAGCCAGGGGTCTATTGGTAATCCCCCTCAAGTATGCTGGGAGGCAGTTGAAAAGTCTTGGGGCCCCTGACACTTACTGTGTTATCTCTTAGCATACTCATGGCACCCCTGCTTTTCATGGGGGGGGGGGGATGTTGCATCTCCTGCCAAGTCTTTTGCTTTCACAGGGAGCAATTTTCATGTGTAGATTTGGGACTAATCCTTCTAGGATTTTCCAAGTGTATATCATCATGCATCATTCTCACCTGCATTCCAGGGAGTATAAATCAAGAGACTTCAACTATTCCCAGTAATTTAGGTGCTTTATCGTACTTATATGTGCCATGAGTTCTCTGTATATTCTCAAGGTCTGCAATTTTGCCTGCCTTGAAAGGGGCCATTAGTGTACAGCAATATTCCAGCCTAGAGAAAACAAGAGATTTGAAGAGAATCATCATGGGCTTGGCATCACTAGTTTTGAAGGATCTCATTATCTATCCTATCAGTTTCCTAGCAGATGTGGTAGATACATTGTTGTGATCTTTGAATGTGAGATTCTCTGGCATTATCACTCCCAGATCCTTCACATTTATTGTGTGGCTGGAATTTGTCTTATACTCCAATACAATTTTAATTTCCTCGAGTTTTCCATAGTGGAGTAACTGAAATTTGTTTTCATTGAACTTCATGTGGTTTTCCATGGCCCAATTAAAGATTTGGTTGATGTCTGCTTGGAGATTTCCAGTGTCTTCAATGGACAACACTGTCTTGCAAATTCAGGTGTCATCCGCAAAGGAGGACACGGTGCTGTGGTTTACATCTTTGTCTATGTCAGATATGAGGATGAGGATCAGGATGGAAGTACTGTACCTTGTGGAACAGAGCTTTTCACTGTAGCCACCTCTGACTTCACTTGTTTATTATTACTCTGTGTTCTATTTGTTAGGAAATTATAAATCCCTCTACCAGCTTTTCCTGTTATTCTTTTATCATGCATTTTGTTTGCTATTATGTACACTACGATTGCACCTGCTGAAGGCTCTCGCGAAGTCTGTGTATACTACATCTACATTTTGTTTTTTCTTCATAGCATCCAAGACCATGTCACAGTGGTCCAGTAGTTGGGATAGGCAGGAGCGACCTGCTCTAAACCCATGCTGCCCTGGGTTGTGCAAGTGGGTGGCAATCTTGCTTCTTAGAATGCTTTCAAAGATTTTTATGATGTGGGACGTTAGTGCTATCACTATAATTCTTTGCAATTGCTGTACTGTCACCTTTGTTGACTGGGGCTATGTCTGTTGTTTTTAGTGTCTGAGCTGCCTCCTGGGATTATCTCTGCTAAAACATTATTTGCTACATTCCTCTAGTTTAGGTGTCTTCAGTTGAAATCACCTAGCATCCACAGATGCCTAACAGAGTACCTCTCCCCCCCCCTCTATCATTTCATCTAGTCTTCTCATAGCCCCATCTCCTGACATCTCCACTAAATATCTGAATACATTCACTTCCTCCCTACCTCTAATCTGATACGTATTTAATTTTTCATTGCCTAAACTTTTTTTTTTTTTACCATCATCACCTCGTTCTTTTCGATGCTCACTTTTTAATTTCTTCCTTTTATGTTTTTTTTTTTTTTTAAACACACTGGCCTTCTCCTACTGAGGCAGGGGTGACCCAAAAATATAGAAACACTTACCATCATTAACACCAACCTTTTCAACCTCTCTTCAGAATCTCCAACAAGAGAGGAGCCATGACAACTACCAGGCTTTTATTAAATTTAATTTTGCACCTCTTCTCAACACCCTAGCATTTACTTCTTCTACATCATCTAGAAATATGTTAGATTAACTATGGTGACATCACGCCCATTTAAAGCCTACTTTTAACGAGAAATAATTCCTCCTCCCATCCTACATACACTACCCTGAGTCTTACTATCCACAAATTCTTTAATGCTTTTAGTAAAAGAGGATGCCCAATACACAACCATGAAGATTAAAGGATACAATGAATAGATAAAGATTTCTTACCACAAACAAGGACAACTAAACATTATAGTAGTAAACTAAGAAAGAGGTGCCAAAACGATATAATCAGGGTCTTCGCAGTGGCAAAATAATAAAATGCTTTACAAGATAATGTAGCAAGTGTTTATAACCAATGGAAATTCTATAAAAGTTAGGGCATTAAATACTACAAAAGAGACACCATAAGCATAGTTTTGCTCCAGTAGCTACAAATTATTAAAAAAATGTGTGTGCTCATTGCTCTTCCAAATACAGTTGCATATATGCGTGCAAACAAAAATGAAAACAGCTTCAGTATTTCAGTATGAAGAAATGTAAGAAAAGGAGTGGACATGGTTCAAAGGAAGGAAGGCAAATACTAGCAAGATATATAGAGCACATCAAACTACAGAAAACAGGGAAACAAGCATAAGACAGGAGGCTGAAACAGATTGAAAATGATATAGCATTAGAAGTTAAAACTGAATCACAGTAACTTCACAGCCATACAAGACACTGAAGGAGGGAGGGAAGGCAACAGAAGTGTAGGTGCTGAAGGGAGACATTAGAAGAAAAGTGGCAGCATTGTGGGGATATGGTAAATGGAATAATGGAGGTTGTGTTTCAGGTAGAGTGGTGTTGAAGGTAAGACAGCAGGAAATGGAAGGGGCTACAATTGATGCAACAAACTGGTATCACTTAAGAAATCAGAGAATCTTCATTTTATAACCAACAAATTTCTACTGTGCATGAATCCATTAACCTTGTAAACAGTTTCTTACCATTGTAACTTGCTTAACTAATAGAACCTTGAACCAAAATTGCTTGACCCATTATGTGCCTCTAATCTTATGACTACCACCCATAGGATGGGTACATGAAGCTATCAACCTAAAAAAAAAATTACTAAGAAGATTATGGTGTACAATATATAGTTTATCAAATAAAAAATATACAAGTACACTATATTTTTTAAATGCTTTTAAGGCCAGTAAATATATTTAAAATAAAACTGTACTAAATGAAATACTAACCTCTTTTGATAATTCTCCGAAGAAGAGTCTCCTCCATCCATAAGATCATGCTCAGCATAGAGTAAGGTTGCCCTAGCAGTGGGTGCCTTTGATTTAACTGAATACTGAATCTGCAACTTATCTTCCATGTCTGCAAATAGTGTTTCACAGTGGTTTCATTTTGTTAATGACTCATGAATAATAATAAAACTAGGAAACCAGGCACACAATAGTTTCAATGCTCAATGAAGGTCTAAATATTTGAAGACTAACTTAAATAAAGTGGTTTGGTGATCCTCACATGTAAATATCTTAATGGATATAACACACAAGCATCACAGATTTGTTTGATATAAACATGGATATAAATAAACTATCACTGAGATTTGCTCGAGTTGAACTTACGGCTTTATGTATTTTGGCTTTGTATAAATTATTTTTTTTTTTTTACAATGGTCTTTAAGGTACATGCATATTATGGACACAAAGCATATATATTATGAATATATATATATCTAACCTACAATAACCCAGCAAGGTCTAACAGTGTGAATTATTTCCATTGAAGTCCCTGAACATTCAGTACTGTACAGTTAATGCACTTATTAAACAAGTTTCCACACCTAAATCACACACACATGTACAACAGGCCTAGTGTCTAATCGACATGTGCCTAGGACAAGATGGTAACTAACACACACACTGTGTACACAGAGTAGTCAGGAAGTGGAACAGTTTGGGAAGCGATGTAGTGGAGGCAGGATCCATACATAGCTAGTAGCAACCAGTGAAGAGGCGGGGCCAGGAGCTAGGACTCGACCCCTGCAACCGCAACTAGGCAAGTACAACTAGGCAAGCACACACGCAAGGAATAGGATAATAACCAGCAGTAATTGATACTTAAATCCAGAAAGTGCAATAAGTGGAGAGAGTAGCAATACTAGGAAAGACAGCTGGGACTAAATTTGAGCCTACACGACAGAGAGGTATAACGGATCTTTCATCCACAACAACCCTACTCCCCCCTAACCATCTCTCCCTCACACACATACACACACACTAGGGTAGACACTCATAGAAGCTTTAGACCCAAGTAGCAATTTCCGCTTTTTATAACTCAGAATTACTGGTATGTATTAGCAGTATCTCCCCCTCAGACCTCCCCCATACACACGAACACACACATATACACACATACATACACACACACACACACACACCTGCACTAGGAGAATACACACACACACACACACACACACACACACACACACACGCATGCACACAACGCATGCACACACACACGCGCATGCACACACGCACACACGCATGCACGCACGCACACACGCACACGTAAGGACCCCATTATCAAGCGGTCACTCTACCTCAGCCTTCTTTCCCCTCCCTCCCCTTCTAATCCCATCACACACACACACCTCCCCCGCTTCTAAGGGTCACTCATCCTTCTCTCCCCCTCCCCCCCTTAATCCCATCCCTCTCTCTCCCACACATACACACACACATACACAAGCACACATACGCAAGCACATGGGGGATTTCAACCACAGGGAGATTGACTGGGAAAACCTGGAGCCACATGGGGGTCCCGAAACATGGAGAGCCAAGATGATGGATGTGGTGCTGGAAAACCTCATGCACCAACATGTTAAGGACACTACCAGAGTGAGAGGGGAGGATGAACCAGCAAGATTAGACCTTGTGTTCACCCTGGGCAGTTCAGACATTGAGGGCATCACGTATGAGAGTCCCCTAGGAGCTAGCAACCACGTGGTTCTGTGCTTTGAATATATAGTAGAACTGCAAGTGGAGAGAGTAACAGTAGTTGAATGGGAAAAGCCTGACTATAAAAGAGGGGACTACATAGGGTTGAGGAACTTCCTGCAGGAGGTCCCGTGGGACAGAGAACTGGCAGGAAAGCCAGTAAATGAAATGATGGAATACGTAACAACAAAATGCAAGGAGGCAGTGGAAAGGTTTATTCCCAAGGGCAACAGAAACAACGGGAAGACCAGAACAAGCCCCTGGTTTACCCGACGATGTAAGGAGGCAAAAACAAAGTGCAATAGAGAATGGAAAAAGTACAGAAGGCAGAGAACACACGAAAATAGGGAGATCAGTTGCAGACCCAGGAACGAGTACGCACAGGTAAGGAGGGAGGCCCAGCGACAGTATGAAAATGACATAGCATCGAAAATCAAGACTGACCCGAAACTGTTGTATAGCCACATCAGGAGGAAGACAACAGTCAAAGACCAGGTGATCAGATTAAGGACAGAAGGGGGAGAACTCACAAGAAATGATCAGGAGGTATGTGAGGAGCTAAACAGGAGATTTAAGGAAGTTTTTACAGTAGAGACAGGAAGGGCTGTGGGAAGTCAGCACAGAAGGGAACATCAAGAGGGAATATACCAACAAGTGTTGGATGACATACGAACAACCGACGAGGAGGTGAAGAAGCTGCTAAGTGACCTTGATACCTCAAAGGCGATGGGACCGGACAACATCTCCCCATGGGTCCTTAGAGAAGGAGCAGACATGCTGTGCGTGCCTCTAACCACAATCTTCAACACATCCCTTGAAACTGGGCAACTACCTGAGAAATGGAAGACAGCAAATGTAGTCCCCATATTTAAGAACGGAAACAGAAACGAGGCGCTAAACTACAGACCTGTGTCTCTGACATGTATTGTGTGCAAAGTCATGGAGAAGATTATCAGGAGGAGAGTGGTGGAACACCTGGAACGGAACAAGATTATAAATGAAAACCAGCATGGGTTCATGGAAGGCAAATCTTGTATCACAAACCTCCTGGAGCTTTATGACAAGGTAACAGAAGACACGAGAGAGAGGGGTGGGTTGAATGTGTTTTCCTAGACTGCAGGAAGGCCTTTGACATAGTTCCCCACAAGAGATTAGTGCAGAAGCTGGAGGATCAGGCACATGTAACAGGGAGGGCACTGCAATGGATCAGGGAATACCTGACAGGGAGGCAGCAACGAGTCATGGTACATGAAGAGGTATCACAGTGGGCGCCTGTGATGAGCGGGGTCCCACAGGGGTCAGTTCTAGGACCAGTGCTATTTTTGGTATATGCAAACGACATGATGGAAGGAATAGACTCTGAAGTGTCCCTATTCGCAGATGATGTGAAGCTGACGAGAAGAATTAAATCAGATGAGGATGAGGCAGGACTGCAAAGAGACCTGGACAGGCTGGACATGTGGTCCAGAAACTGGCTTCTCGAATTCAATCCTGCCAAATGCAAAGTCATGAAGATTGGGGAGGGGCAAAGAAGACCACAGACAGAGTATAGGCTAGGTGGACAAAGACTACAGACCTCACTCAGGGAGAAAGACCTCGGGGTGACCATAACACCGAGCACGTCACCGGAGGCACACATCAACCAAATAACTGCTGCAGCATACGGGCACCAGGCAAACCTGAGAATAGCGTTCCAATACCTTAATAAGGAATTGTTCAAGACACTGAACACTGTGTATGTTAGGCCCATACTGGAGTATGCAGTACCAATCTGGAACCCACACCTGGTCAAGCACATCAAGAAGTTAGAGAAAGTACAAAGGTTTGCAACAAGGCTAGTCCCAGAGCTCAGGGGAATGTCGTACGAGGAAAGGTTGAGGGAAATCGGACTGACGACACTGGAGGACAGAAGGGTCAGGGGAGACATGATAACATACAAGATACTGCGGGGAATAGACAAGGTGGACAGAGATAGGATGTTCCAGAGAGGGGACACAGGAACAAGGGGTCACAACTGGAAGCTGAAGACTCAGAGGAATCACAGGGACGTTAGGAAGTATTTCTTCAGTCATAGAGTCGTCAGGAAGTGGAATAGCCTAGCAAGTGAAGTAGTGGAGGCAGGAACCATACATAGTTTTAAGAAGAAGTATGATAAAGCTCGGGAAGCAGAGAGAGAGAGGACCTAGTAGCAATCAGTGAAGAGGTGGGGCCAGGAGCTGAGTCTCGACCCCTGCAACCACAATTAGGTGAATTAGGCAAGTACATATACACTTGACACAAACACGTATTCCCCCTTCCCCTAACCACCTCTCCCCCTCCCCCTAGCCACCTACCCCTCCCCCAAACCATCTAACCCCTCCCCCAAGCCATCTAACCCCCTCCCCAACTACCTCTCCTCCTCCAATAACCATCCTCCCCCTCCCCCATAACCATCCATCCCCCACTCCCCCTAACCATCTATTCCCCTCCCCCTAACCATCTCTCCCCCTTCCTTCTGTGGAGCAATGGGGCAACCTAGAACTAGGATGAGAACAAGGGGCCCGAAGGACGAATCTGGGAGGGAGGACTGGGAGGCAGAGCTCAAAAAAAGGGAGGAAGACTGGGGAAGGAGGCTAGATGAGCTTGCAAGGAAGATGGAGGAGAGGTTAGCAGCAGAATGCAGAAGGTGAGTGAACAGCAGAATACAGTGTTGTAGCAGCAACTAACCAGTATTATAATGGTACTTAGTGGAGTGGAGTGACTTTCATTAGTTTCTTTTTTCTTGAAATACCAGACGTATACTGTGAATTTCATATAACCTGTAGTTACCAGCGGTCACAATATACACAACGAGAAGCAATTATTACTACAGAAAAAGCGTCCTTCCTCCGAAATTTCCACCAGTCAACTATAGTGATAATATAGCATTTATTGTGGTGGAGACGAAAAAAACTAGAAAAGCTAGATACAGTGATTGATAAACAAGGGTTGAGGCTCGACCGTTCGTCACTGTAGGAGCTGCCAGAAATCACCGGCTCTTCAACACGCAAGTTATACTTTTGTATCAATCAAATCACATATTACTCGGGTAGATAATTTCAAGTAGATCCTTCATGTGTTAGCCCAAATCACCGACCAGTATGTTTTAAATAAGTGACCCACTGATCAGATCAGATCGACTGGTCCGAACCCTCGACTGGTCCAAACCCTCGACTGGTCCGAACCCTTGACTGGTCCGAACCCTTGACTGGTTTCAAACGGTTTCGTTGGACAATAAAGCAGACTGTAAACGGATGGGATTGTAGGCGCCCTTATCAAACACAAACAATAAATATAAATCAGGAACGTACACAGTAAGCTGTCCAATTAGTTAGAAATAGAAATACAAATAGC